AACCGGCGGTTCCTGGTACCAGTTCATCTTAGGTAAATTTTTCAACTTGAATTTTACTTCTCTTCCATGAATTTCAGCGTTTTTTTAGAAATTAAAAGATGACAGTATGCTTAGAACATCTACTACAAATCAAATAATGTATAATATTCGATATTTTACAAATATTTTAAAATTGTCTAATATCAGGAAATTCGAAATGTCGCTGCGCGACATTTTGCAGTACAAGAAGACTATCTCGATCGTCAGTTTATTCCTTTTTTGTGGGCTATGTTCCAATTATACCGTTGTTTGATTGTTGCAATGCTATGACATTATGGATTTCCGTATGCATGCATTTTATCATACCGCTATTTCATATCCAGAGTCCGTGCAGTTTCAGGATATACATATGCGTGTTATTATTTATGATTACAGAGAAAACGTTTCGTTAGCGGAAGAAGGCGCGTCTTGCTGTATAATACGGTAATTCCGTACGATGCGTATCTCACATTTGCTCCGCGATAGGTTCTAGATTTTTTTTATTGCACAGTCTGCTTGTAGAGACAGTATTTTTATATTTCAATTCCATTTCGGTTATTACTACGAGTATACATTCGTCGCTTCTTTGGTCTGACATGTATTAAAATGAATAGTGTGCGCAATGCTGCATATGTATGTACTTTTACCTTTACAAAGGCATGTATTCGCGAGTAAAAATACGCGTAGGTAACAGGCATTGTGACTAACAGATCTACTTCCGCGAGAGGAACAGCGCCACTGCGCCGTGACAATCTCTCGGAAGACAATTGAAAACTGAAAACTCGTTTTTCATGTCGCGAGAAAGAAAAAGGTTAAATATAATTATACTTACTGCCGTCTCCGAATGATTACGCTATGTTTACGGAAGGAAGAGATGCTGTCGCACGATAGTGGAGAAATTCAATGTTACACGTAATGTTTGACGGATGAATTGCATTTTTAAAGAAGGAAATCCTGTGCGCTAAACTTCTCGTCTAACCTAGTTTAACCTGGTCTAACCTGTCTAATTCTAGGTATTTCTTAGGTTAAAAAAAAATATAAATATTACACTAAAAATTGATACTTTCAGTAACTGCATAAACATTTAACTTTAATTTAACTAATAGTCTTTAAAACTATCCAATCAACACAAACTAAAAGTAACAATATCCCAGAGAGCACAAAGTCGTCTAAAAGACGACTAAATTGTTATAAAAATATCTTAGTGAAAGAATGTAGTCGACGAAAAAATGATTAAAAGATGACAAATATCGCACTGCTAGTTATATGTCTTATAAGTTATATGTCCATATGATAACTAAAGAATGACTTTTTTGAATATCTTTTAGTCGTCTTTAATACTTCTTTTAGTATTTTAATACATATAACGTTTAATAATCAAATTCCTAAATTAATTTTTACACAAAACGAAGTAAAATTGTTGACAATATTGACTGACAATATACGTCCCATTCGTGTTTGCCGTATCCTATATACAAGAGTAATTATCTTTCATTATAGTCTTTTTTGGGACTTGATTACAAAGAAAAAAAAATTTATTAGTACTCATTAGAACACGAGTAAAATTTCTCATGCAATGCTGCACCTTTTATTCTGTATGATTTTCAAACGCGAGAAATTCTCGTCCACTCCATTCACATCCATCTGGTGGTGATCTCGCGTATACTGTTCACGAATGAGTGATAAAAAGTATCAAAATAACGGAAAAATATCTTTTAGCCGATCTTTTACTTTGCGAAAATGACAACCATAGAAAGGTGATGAAAAGATGTCTTTTTTAAGTTGTCTTTTCAACAAAATTAAAAGATGTTTTATAGACATTTGGTCTTGCTGAAAAGACAATCTAAAAACAATGTCCTTTCGTCATCTTTTAGATACCTTTTCGCTTTGTCGGAAAGACAACTTAAAAAAGACCTCTTTTCGTTATCTTTTAGAATTTTGTGCTGTCTGGGATTATATTAATGTTATAATTTCGCATTCAACAATATAAATATAATACACCACATGATGTTGAGACAATTACATTGTATTTGTGAAATAACATATTGTTATGTTTCAGTTAGTGCCGACATTGTAGAGATATTCAATTTTTAGTATCAATTTAAGACATTTTTTTTCTTGGATAATTTTAATACCGGCTGTTTGACTGTTGATTGAATAATGGATAGAATAATGGATTGCTTAAATATTATATTCTGAATATATTATTTTAAAAACTAGATTTTTTTAAAATTTGCAGTCACTATTGTAATATTCTACAATACTTATACAAAATCATATTAGAAATGTATTGCTATTGGTATTAAAGATACATAAGGTATTAAAGATACATAAATCAGATCTTTCACTCGCATGACATTTTAGATCGCGTCTCTACGTAGCTCATAAAAGAATATGTGTGGGCGCGGCATTGTGAG